CTTCCCACAATCATGAAAACAAGATAATCATGATTAAAGTTCTGTGGCTCAATGTTGCGCTGGTTTTGCCATGTGTGGTAAATGTTTCGAAGTGTTTGTTGTTGCATCCTGGCCACAAGAGTTCATCACCACTATCTCAAAAACATAATTTATTTGTATTTATAATTATTATATTTTTTACATTATTAGTTTCATTTGCAGCTTGTTTTTCAAAGTCTTCAGAATAGTGCAATCAGTCTTGGTCTCAAGACCACTTTTTGAAGTCAGGGTCTTGTCTCGGTCTTGGACTGGGAGGGCTCCAAAGACCACCACTGAAAGGCTATTTTTCCACTACATTACTTTATTTGGAAGGAAAATGACGATTTCTAAAAGAAAAAATAACTTTAATTCATTCCCACTTCCCATGTGTTACATAAGTAAGTGAAACTCCCTCTGCACACAAGATGAGGATTTTTCAGTAATATTTATGGTCTTGTTTCTGTCTCGGATCACTCCTGTCTCGGGTATGTCTTGGTCTTGACTACAACACTAGTTCGGAATGTTAAAGTGTTAAGACTGTTTAAATTTGTTTATCGCATTTGATGCAGAAGTTGTAAAATCAATTAGTAATCATCTTTAATAATCGTGATCTCAATATCAATCGTGATTAGGATTTTTGTTATAATCAAGCGGCCCTAATCTGTTGGTTGATAAACAAAACATTACTTAGCTTTTGCTGTTAACATCTCGTAATTGCTCAGTCATTGACTATAAAAACATAGATACACATTAGTTTCAGCAATTTAAAAAAAGAAATGCTTACACTATCTCGGCCATAAGAACGCATTTGATTAAAATTCTCCTGCATCTTTTGTACGAGATCCAACACATTAGCAGAAATGTGACTTTTCTCTGTTTCATCTCACCTTGTCTGTGTCATACAGGTATCAGCTAGTGCTTACGGGTGACAACAACCAGTAATGTAACAGCCTGCTGTAGTCTGTAGCTGCAAATTTTGTCAAACAACAAATACCATCATTGAAATGATGCAGCTATTTATATTACAAACTCGAGTTTGGGTTATTGCTTTTATTATTAGTATTCATTTTATTATTTTTGCATTTAATGTGTGTACAAGTTGCTAGTGCAAATACACAGTGTATGCTTAAGATGTTGTTGTCATTTGTATTTATTTGGTATTTAATCGTTCCCTTTGGGACACCACAAAGAACCTAATGCCAATGTCCTTCAGTAAAATGAGTAATCCAAATTACAACAATGACACATACTAGTATTCTCTCCAAGTAAGTTCACATGTTAACTAATATGTGAACAATTATTCTGGTTTAACAAGTTTCTCTAGTTTTTACCATCATCTCAGGGTCACCTGCCAATCATCGTCAAAGCACCTATCTGAATGCGCCTTTACTGAGCTGCAGCCCTAAACTCAGCCAAACTGGTTGTGATTGTATCCTCCTGAATAAGGTCAAATGTACCTGGATATGGTCATGTTGGGGTTGGTGATGTGTCTTATACCCAAGATGTAGATGTAGTTCACCAAGTAGTTTAACACAAAAATGACGACATTTAAGACCAGTATGGAACGTGTGTAATGATACAAATTGTCACATATCAGTTGTGGGATTCATGGCAGAATACAAACTTAATCAAAATCTTATCGGCAGTGGCACTCAATTCTTCTGAGCACTATTTTTTTTTAAAAGACCCCATGGTGGTTGTGGACTTCTTCATACAGCAGGACACGGGTGTAATATCAACTTCTAGGATCAGAACTAAGGTCAGGCCTCAGACACAACCTGATCCCATCAGGCTGATTCTATACTGTGCTTTTTAATAAATCTGACTTGTCTGTATTATCACAACTCAGGGAGTATAAACCTTCACAGGAGGTCTTTAAACTTTCAAACTCACAAACTGCTGTCCGGCAAGTATTTTTCTTTTTTTAAGAGTTAGGGGTTATTTGATTTTTATCGCAGCACAAATTAGCCAACTTTGTTGATAAACATTAGTTTCAGCAACTTAAAGAAATGCCTTCACTATCTCTGCCAAAAGACTTTCAAATGTCTGACTCTGAAATGAACATGTGTCACTGTTTCATGACATTTTAAAGGACTTTTTGAACACCCAGCATTTAAAGCATGTCAGTCGCCAGATGTTATGAAAGTGGTTGTAACTTTCTAAAAGTCTCAAATCCATAGAATTACATTGAAGACAAGACAATGAAAATATTATTATTGTTTAAAAGTACTGCCACATGTGTATGTCTTTCAGTTTGTTTAATCCTTTAATCCAACTGTTTAAATAAAGGTAAAAACAAATAATTATAGAACCTGTGGTTAAGTATCAATTTCTGTAAACACATTCAAAACTACCTACCGGTACAGAAGCTTTGTTTTCACGTGTTTCATTTTCTCTTTTATGTCGCAGTTGATTTTTTTTTCTGCAGAAACAACTATTTTCTGAGGCAGTTCCTCACAGCCTACAGTTTGGTTCGTTGTATCATAATTTAATGTGTTTAAATTAATAACACATTAAATATTAGAGATTAGATTCACCTTAGACCTTCACGACTTCTCAAACAATTAATACAACACGCCTGGTTTTATAAATAAATAATATTTAAGTGATTGATCCACTTCTTTCAGCTCTACATTCAACAGGTACTTGCTGCACATAACAGTTTTGGATAAAGATAAAGTTCTGTTGGGAATGTAAACAGGTAAAAAAAGAATCCCTCCATTCCCCCTCAAACCCTGACACAAGACTGTAAAATACAATATAACACACATCACAAATGTGCAATATATTTATCTGTATAGCAATTTTATACATAGCTTTTCTTTTTATATCTATTTATATCTGCACCTTGTTTTTCTATGTAAACACTTGCTGCACTACAACGAGCCAAATGCAACGAAATCTCGTTCTTATCTGCACTGTAAAGTACAAGTTTGAATGACAATAAAGAAATTATAGTCTAAGTCCTAAGGTTGTTAAAACAACGCGTGTCTAGGACTTTAAGAAATACATTAACAAAGGTTTACAAGTATGAATTATTACCACAGACTTTTGAACATCCTGTAACATGCTCGAGATCATAATGACATTTACTTTAACACAGACGTAACAACGCAAACAAAGTGAACCCTTCTCAGTCTCCACTGCTTTAATTGTAACTCTTGTTCCCCAGAAAACAACTTCTTTCAAAGTAAGATTTAATCTGGTGTTAATGTCTGTTAGTTCTCTCTGAACACTGGGACTACAAACCTGAAACACTGGACACAAAGTTTATCTAAAAAAACCCACACAGCCCACTTCAATGTTAACTTACAGTAGTAACAGACAGCGGAGCTTCCAACCAGCCTGTCAAACAGCAAACACACCTTAATCCCTCTCTATACAGTCCGCATCACAATCAAGTCCCGCACGGATCAACAGATGTGGAGTCCGGCGGCATGCTGCGGCTAACAGGCGAGCTAACTGTTAACAGACATCGCAGCGACCAACAAACTTCACGAATACAGAAACAGACTCTCCATCCACAGTCACACACACACAGGCACTCATATACACGAAGTAATTACAGCCTCAAACCCGAGCTAGCTACTGATACAGCAGAGGTGTGAGTGTTTTGCAGACTAACGAAACATCCCATTTATCTTGCTTTAAAAAGATGGCGGGCAGGCAAATGCAAAATATGAGCTAGGTTTCAAGCTAGCAGAGCTAGGCTACTTACCGAGGACCTAAAGTATAATCTACACGACTAACGGCGGTTGTGGAGATATCTGAGCATATTTTTAAGATTATATCTGTAAATTTGTTCATTAATTACACGAATAACTATCATACTAACACAGTTACACATCCTATATTTGCAGATGTTACCGCTCGGTGTTAGGCTAGCTAATAAGCCGTTAGCCTGTTAGCTGAGCTTTGTCTGAAGGCGCCGAGCGGCCAGCCAGGCTCCGACACATTCTGCTCCCTCCAACTACAACACTACGCTCCTTTAAACTCATCATCCCAACGCTACCGTGCACAGAAAGGTGTTTACTTTGTTTTTCGGTCCTCCGGTGCCTCCAACGGCGAGCTCCGCTCAGTTTTCAGGAAGATTTTTATTTAGCGAAGTAGCATAATAGATGAGTTATCAGCTGTCTACCTTTGGCGCAGGCGCAGTAGCGAGCAGCGTCATGGATGTTGTTGTGATTGGATTGGCTGTCTGGCTGGCTGTGGCGCTTTGATTGGCTGCTTAGTATTTGCGTGGCCATGATTTGTTGCCGGGGTATATGAACCGCTGGGATTTGCCGGTCAGTTAGTTAAAGTTCAGTGATTGGCTGATATAATGACTGGGCTGCTATGATTGGCTGAAGAGGTTTAAGTTTACAGAATTTGAACTACATTTCCCAGCATGCAGAGCTGAACCAGAGAGCCAAAAATGCCTGCTGTGCTCTGAACGTTTGTTTGATTAAGAAATTTAAAACAATAAAGTATCTTTATATATATATACATGTCTATATCTATTGATACACTGTACTGAACTTTAATTTCCAAAAGGAAATAAAAAACTGTATATATATACTGTATACCTGAAAAAGCATGAATTAGGATTTTTAATCAGTATGAAATTTACATGTTATGATGTTATGTTGGCATGAAAATGTATCACAATTAATTTAGAAATATCTCATAAATTTCCTTTTTGACATGTTACTAGCTAATTTGAGTTGCCACTTACCAGACACAGATTATGACACTCAGCAGCTGTGTAATTAGAAACGTAGCTGGCATCCTACGGAGGTTGTGTTAAACTTAAAGTCAAACCACTGCTAAATCTTCATTTGTAGTCAGAAGAAAACTAGTCCGAACTGGAGCTGAACATAAAGGGTTTGACCTGAGGGGGGCGCTGCAGGAAAGATTGCAGTCCACATGATTAAAAAATACTATTATTTTTTATTTATATTTCAATATAGAAGTTTAGTTCAAATAAAAAAGACACACATCAGTCTGATTATCAAGAAGCTTTATTGTTGTCATCAGTGAGTATTATAATCATCATCATTTGTCCTGTTGCTATGGGCCTGTGTGCCGGACTGCAGGAGGCTGTTAACATGCAGCAGAGCCGAGCAGACAGACAGATTGGAGGACAGCAGGTAGAGGAGTAGACAGACAGAGGTAGGTCAGACAGATAGGTAGACAGACTGAGGGGATAGAGGTAGATGGGTGGTCAGGTAGTGAGGTAAGTGAACAGACTGACTGGAAGGGGGGGGGGGACATACAGGTTGGGGCAGGCAGTGAGGAAGACAGGTAGACAGACAAAAAGAGGCAGACAGGTGGTGGCAATCAGACAGACAGGGAAAAGACAGATATGCAGACAGGAAGGAAGCCAAATACGGAGAGGCAGGTAGAGCAGAGGACAGAAAGGGGAAGACAAACTGAGAGATAGAAAGAGAGATAGACAGAGATAGAAAGGGGAAAAGACAGGTAGAGACATATAGGAAGGGACAGACAGAGAGAAGGACAGACAAAAAAGTAGAGACTGGTATATGGAGAGAGACAGTCAGGAGAAAAGTCTGATGCATACAGGAGGATAGTCAGGTAAAGACAGGTTGGGGACAGGCAAGTAGAAGGAAAGACAGGTAGAGACAGGTAGGTAAGGTGAGACAGACAGGTGGAAAGACAGATACAGACAATCAGTTAGACATAGGAGACAATGTATGTGGGGAAAGACAGGTAGTTGGAGACAGACAGGTAGAGCCAGGTAGGTGGGGGGACAGGTAGCTTTTGTGTTATTTACATACAGGTAGGCAGATGCGATAAAAAGCTTATTGGCTGTCTTCCAGAGGCTCCGTCCCTCTCTCATCTGTGTCGGCCAATCCCCTTTGTGGAGGGGCAGGCTCTGCAGGCTGGGGGGAAGGGTGTGAGGAGGAGGAGGAAGAAGAGGAGGAGGAGGACAGGGGGAGGGGAAGGTCTGGGGGTTGTTCAGTCTGTGATCTCCCTCCCCCATCTACCTCGCCTCCCATAAGCCCCTCCTCTGCCTGCGCCCCACCTGCGCCTCCTCCACCTCCCCCACGAGACCCAGCGAACTGCAGGTGAGGCAGGAGGGCTGCTGGGGCCTCCTTCTCCCTTTCTCTCTCCCCTGCTGCCTCTCTCTCACGTCGCTCAGCATACAGCGGAGCCTCCAAGCCGAGGTAGGAGGCACTGAGCTGCCGCAGGTCCAGCTCGAAGGGGCTGCCACTGGGATGCACTGCTGCTTCACCACCCTGACCTCCTCCCCCCCTCTTACCCCTGCGTGGGTGTGAGGAGTTGGTGGCAGGGAGGCTATCAGGGAGCAGAGACTGGATCTTCGGAAGCCAACGTTTACGGACCCTGCGGGCATTGGTGCACATGTCTGCCGCAATGACGTTCATCTCGCTCTCCTTAAAGTTAGGAGCAAAGTTCTGACAGTAGACTGAGGAGGAGGAGTAGGAGGAAGACAATTAGGAGGAAAAAGAGAAGGCATAACAGGAGGAAAGAAGGGACAGGTAATTAGAGGTGGAACATGACAAACAAAGGATGAATAGGTAGGAGAGAAGTGGTGTGGCGGAGCAGGAGGAGAAAAGTAAGCAAGATAGTGGATGTGCCGAATTGACAAAGAAGGAAAAGGAGGAGGAAAGGTAAAAGGAAGAGAAGGGAAAGAAATGAGGAAAAGGAGGTAGAGGAGGAGGGGATGGAGGGAAATGAAAACACAATGATAGGGAAAAATAAGGATATAAGTGAGTAAGGAGAAAAGGATAAGAAGGAGGAGTGGTAAGGAGGAAGGTGAAAGGTGAAAGAAGGGAGAAAATAGAATGAGACCAAAAATGGGGGAGGATAAGAAAGGAAAGGTAGGGGAGGAAGAAGAGGTAAAAAGAGAAGAGGAGGATGAGAAAGAGGAAGATTAGAAGAAGTTAAAGGAAAGTGAGGGAAAGTGAGTAGGAGGACCAAGAGGAGGAGGGGGAGGAAGAACAATGAGAGAAAAAAAAATATCTCAGTATTTCCAAAATAAAGTAAAAAGACATAAATCAATGAGTCAGACAATATATATGTGTGTGTGTGTGTGTGTGTGTGTGTGTGTGTGTGTGTGTGTGTGTGTGTGTGTGTGTCTCACGTTTGACAGTGTTTAACACTCGGTTGTCCAGGGGCTTTCGGCTCGGATCATTGGTTGAGGAGCGGATTCCTGTCCCACAGCTATTGGCCAGAGTGTTTCTATGGATACCATAACAACCCAATCAGCACCTATACCAAGCTTTAGATTACCTCGCTCACCCCCACCCTTAGACAATGTGACAGAGCTGTTATGTAAAGCAGCAGCTGGATCCTGAAGGAGGCTCAGTGTCAGAATGTTCCCAAATTTCAACAATCCCACCACAGTCTGATGATGTCACATGACATCTGATGATGGCACATGACGTCTAAGGATGTCAGACTGTCTGAGTTTGACACACGGTCGATGATGTCACCAACTTCTGATTTTTACTTTAAAATGCCTCAGCCATCGTATCAAACAGTACGCAGATGGGCAAACTGGCTTCTTTTAATATCTGAAGGCTTGTGTGAACGGATATGTAAAGCCAATACGCGCTGTGGGCTGTTTAAAGTTATTGTGATATTAAATCGACCTGTGAAACTACTATTTTAAACTGGAAAAATTACATATTGTTGGTTTAAGTCATTGCTGAGGTATCCAAAAGTTACAACTTACCTAGCAGTTTACAAAAACCTGCAAAACTGAGGTAAGAACTAAGTAAAGAAACAATATATTAAAGGTAAACAAACACTGAAGCTCTCTTTTCTGGAAGTATTTATAAGCTATATGTTTAGTAGTTCAAAAAAGTTACTCATATTTATTGTCAAGGTAAAAGAAAGGGGAAGCGATATACATTAACTGGAAAATACGTTCCATAGAAGTATTCAAAACTGAGATGTATTTATTTCATTATTTATTTTGTATTAAAGGAATAAAGTTTTTTTATTTAACCACAAACATAACCCAAGTTATCAGGTGTTGGTAGGTGTGTTTTTTAAGAGAGTCAGGCAATTGCCCAAGCTAATGAAAAACATTTCAGTACAGTTACACAGCTCACCTGTCAAAGAAGGTAGCCAGCAGTCTCCTGAGCAGCACCTTGTGTTTTACTCCAGCACACAGGTGACAATTCATCAGCTGACCTCGTGTCATGAACACACCTGAACCTACACACAAAAACACACACCGAACACAGGAATATTAGCACTATGAGTTACTATTTAATATATTTTTAGCCAAATACACTTGTGTTAATGACAAATTATTATTATTTCACCACTTTCACAATGTGCAAAATAAAACACATCATATGATGCTATTTTTATTGCTGTGTTCAGATAACAGCTAAAGTTAGCATTTAGCCACTTACTGCTCTAGTTAATATTACTGTTAGCTAGGAAGTGCCTGAAAGCTATTATTTCATTAAGGTAGCGTTACATCGAAGCAGCAACCCCGGTTGTGAAACATTTAAGGAAGGGTTGGCAATTTTCTCCAGATACACTTTTTAAGATTTTGGTTGAAATTGTCTTTCGTTTAAGAAACAAAGAAAATTAGTAATCTCTAGCAGCAGTAAGCCTGTAAATATTTCGACCAATGTCTGCCACGACGTGACAATTTGATGAACCAATCATCCAATCCCTGTCTCCCTGCTCGTTCTCTACCCCTTGCGTGCACTAGCTCACACTCAAAGCGCGTCACTGATGACGGAGTTTACACTGAGTTTGTCATTGGCAATTGTGAATAGTAAAATATATTTAATGGTTATCAACACACACTGTATAGGGGTTGAATTTTTTAAATAACTCACTAGTTTTGATTTTATGAAGGATATGAGTTATGCATAATTAAGAGCGTGATGGATCTGACTGCATGGGGCCATGTTCAGCTTTTTGAGTGTCATTAGGTTGACCAAAAGTTTGATAGAGTCAGTATTTCCAATTTGGCAAATGCCATGGCTTCCAAAACAGCCACAAAGAAACCAATGGGTGACATCACTCAAGCTTCGATTTACAGTCAATGGCTGCATCAAACTATACAAAAGATGTAAACTCATGCCCAACATAATTTTAGCAAGGATGTTGGAGGTTGTTTCTTAATGTTGGCTGAGAAGTGGCTAAATACTTATAATAGCTGTTGTCTAACTGAAGCTAACTGAATAATAAATGTGTTGTTTATCCTTGAATTGTTTATGTTGCTTACTAATCAATACACATTCACAGATCATCTGTGCCTACCAGCCACCAGCTCCACCTTCTCCCCTGGGTCTCCTTCAGTGTAAAGCGATGGGTGACAGCGATACCCAATCTGACTAATCAGACTGGCAGGGAGGGCCATGTTGTCTCGACCAACCAGTACGCAGGGCCGACGCTCATTAGCCAATGGGAGGGACAACATCTCCATCTTCTCTTGGACTGGATCAATAAAAAACAGTAACAAGGTTGTCATTACCAGGTAGCAATAATAACAAAGCTATTGAACAAAGTAGTGTGATTTCATGAATTGTTATTGACTTCACACTGCTCAAAGAAAACTCTGATGATCTTCCCACACCTGCAGACAAATCTCGACAGTCACAGAAAAGTTTACGATAGGTCCTGAGTGCCGAGGTCTTTCCACATTTTTTATTCATGAAGTCAGTTTCTGCTTCAGCTGTGAGATTATTTGTACCAGACTGAATATGAAAAAGTCTAAATTTAAAAAAAAGTCAGCTATACAAGCAAGTGTTTATTTCATCCTACAAATTTTTTCTTGTTTGATTTATTCGATTAATCTTCGTGGTTCTACAGATGTAAATGCCTGTAGTGGACTTAACACACAGCTTGGTTTTAATTTTAGTTGCTCTGATACCACAGTTCCTGACATTATATTTTCAAAAAGACCTCAGTGGGTGGAGAAAATATTATTATATTGCGCTTTCACACATGCACAAAAATCATAAAACTTTGTGAACGTGAACGCCAAGAGCTGAATTTTCCGATTCTTCTACCCCATATATGTTCCTGCCAGCCACCAAGTAAATTTCCTGCGTGAAACGTTTATATCCTGTGACAGGCGCAAGATCATAGACTGTATGTCTGGGTCTGGTGCGATCTCTGTGCACATAGCCTAATAAAACTGCCACATTATGTTTTCTGTTTTTCAGTATTTTCTTCTTTGTCCTTTTGCTATAGTGAAAATGTTGAACTTGGATATAAAGGCAAAATTTGTCATCTTGGTGTCAGACTCTGTTGTTTCATCCACATTGTTCTTTTTACGTCATATACCGCCTCCTGAGACCTGAGTCCTCAAACTCCTGCCGACAGGGATAGTCTCCCGCTGTGAAGTTTATGTGTGGACAAGCAAATCAGGAAGATTTCAGGGGCAGTCTGCCTGCAATTATCTTGAAATTTTCAGGAGTTTATATGCGAAAAGGTTTTTAGAAAGTCCTCTGAATAGATGAATCCATCCTGTGTTGGACCTGGATGTAAAGAGTTCTCATCAATGAAATAACTTAGTTACTTAATTTGTAGTTTGTTGTAAAAAAGCCCAATTATGCAAACACAAATTGATTGGATTGTACCATGATGTAACTTACTGTAGGGGTTTCCAGGATGTCCGTAGATGTGTTGGTATAGTCCAGGATGGACACTGCTCCCATAGTAATCCTCCTCCAGCTCCTCCTCGGTGGCTGGGTGAGAGGGTGGGGAGTCTGTGGGAAGGCTGGAGCCTCCTGGACTGGATCGCCCCCCTCCTGCCAGGAGATAAGACTGTAGCCCTGGAACTAAACCTGCACTTGCACCCAAGTAACACAGAGCACTGCTCCTGGAGGACTGGAGGTCCCCAGCATTGTCCACCCTGAGGGCAGTACAATTAGAATTCAATTATACATGTTGTGGTTCAACAATATTGTTCTCTGTAATATATTTATTTATCATACTGTATATTTGCATATATCAGGTTATTTTGTCCTCACCTGCCCTCCTCTCCTCCTCCACCTCCTGCTGCTGCTCTTCTCCCATTGTCCTCAGCAGGAGGAGTGTCAGCTCTCTCCTGTTTGATCCTGCTGACAGCCAGCAGCAGTTCCTCTGGGCTCAGAGCTGGCTGGTCTGGACTGGCCTCCTGCAACTGGGGGGCGCTGTTTTGCTGTTGAACCATCTGTGTGTCGAAGCCCCCAAGCTCGTCTGCTGACGTGGTCTGCAATGCATTACTGTGTTTAAGTAACATCTCAACTTGCATTATGTGTTCTATATATTTTTTTAATATACCACTGTGGGCATGGCATAACCCACCTGTGAATCACAGCAGAGAGGTGAGGAAGAGGAGGATGCCTTCATCATCATAAGCTCCATGCCTCGCTCCACGATGTTCTGGATCTGCAGGTACCCGGCGGTGTACATGAGCACCAGCTGCTCACTTGCAGCCATACTGAGACGCCCAGTGTAGCAGAACGATAGAATCTGCTGGAAACATGCTGGCGTGACTGAAGACGGCAGCTCAAACACTGCCTGGGACGAGGATGATGATGAAGAGGATGAAGAAGAGGAATCTGCTGCAGAGCTGAACAGGTCTCTGAAGTAGAGCGATGAAGCGGCGAGGACGGCCCGGTGTGCCTTGAAGGCCTGACCCTGCACCAGAATAGAGACGTCACAGTAGTGACCCAGCAGCCGCTGCTCGTTCAAGCTGCCAAGCACGCTGCTGCCAAAGTCTGGGATCTCCACCTGCAGCAGCCCCTCCGACATGGTGGATAGTGGAGAAGAGGACAGGACAGGAAGTGACTTAGGTTTCAGACTATCTGGCGGCAAGGTGGAGATGGTCCTGCCCAGCCAGAGGTCAGAGTGTTTAGGTGTCAGGGATCCTGAAGATATCACCTCCAAAATGATGCAGATCCATTTTGTTGTAGAGGAAACAGTGAGGTCAGATGTCAAGCCTTGTGGAGACAGAGAAGAGAAGGAGAAGATGAGATCATCAGGATGGGCGTCAGCTCCAAACAGAGGGACAGTTATAAATGAGGAGGAGAGAGAAGACAGGATTGGGAGGAGGACTGAGAGTATAACACGACAGCTTCACACCTTCCTGTCTACTTGCAGAACAAACTGGAAAAAAAACACATCTGACACCTCTCAGTTTTTTTCTGCTCCTCTTTCCTCCAATGTTATCAATATAAAATAAAGTATACTGTTCATACAGTGTATTTGCTTGTACTGCATTTAAGAATTTAAAAACAAAACAAAAGAAACAACAACTTTAAGAGTACAGGGTGGAGATTTTGAGCCAAACTAAATACAAAAAATCAATCATCTTTATTGTACATTGCTTTTTTGATTGTACTTAAATATTTTTTAATACTGAGACTTTTCATTCGAGACCTTTTAAGCCTCTCTTCTTAATGACATCACTGTTTGATGACACTCATTTTCATCAGTGAATCTAAATTTCCTCTCAAACTTGACGAATCTTAATGCAAGCAAGCCTTAACACTCAATTCAGATTTTTCGTTCAGACCTGTTTTTTTTTTTTGTTTGGCTGTTCACATTGCATTTTAAATGTGGCCTGTATCAGATCCCTGTGGGAATCCACATATAAAAGTGACCCAAATGTGATTTAAAAAGATCAGATTCCATGTGAATTGCGCTGTTCACATTGTCATAGAAAAATCTGATCAGTATGAAGGAAGCATTTGTTTCTTTAGTGCAGCAATAGGTTGGAACAGGCTTAAACAATTAAATATATGTTTACCATGCAGAAGCTAACCCTAATCCTGTTCTGTTCTATACCAGATTTCTGTTTTACATTCAGTATATCTTGGTTACCACAGATGGTTTAAGGCCTGCAGAAGGAAGACAGACGTCCATCACTACAGAGGCTTGTTAACCCATCATTAATGTTTCATTAAGATTTTGAATTTTTAGAGCAAAAAAAACTAATAACCATAAACTATAATCTAAACTTCTACTGAGGATGATGATGGTTTTGTAAATAAGTTGAAAGTTATTTTGCTACAGCACCTTAGCATTCACAGTATGGAGGAAAAAAGCTCTGTGTCATAATTAATATCAGACAAGTGTTTAGAGACTGAATAACTTTGCTCCGACGACCTTCATCAGTCCACTGCTATCAACTCAAACACCCATGCTTCACTCTGAATGTTTTTCTACTTCTAGGCTGCAGGAGGGGGCATTTCATATAAACTAAGAACAATGCTGTCACAATGTCCAGGTCAAGAGTAGATATGCAACAAAGGGTACAACTCTTAAAATTATGATCGCTGGGAATTATTTTACATGGAATGAGTTTTGGAATTTTTGTGCGGCAACACATTGGTTGAAAGTTTGGATGTAGATAACTTATTTTAGACCTCTACAGTATAAGTAAATGGTTAACCATTTTCATAATATCAAAGATAAAACAATGAGTATATTTAAATATACTGAGGTTCAACACTGATGCTTGACTATCAGCTGTTTTTTCTTTGGTTTTCTTTAAATAAGCCAGTTTCTGGTGATTCAGCTTCATCAAGTGTTGTATGTCTGTTTCTATGCAGAAGACAACATCCTGTATGTCAGACATTTGACAGCAAACTCACCAGGCCTGCTTCAGATACATGATACATTCCAGACTTCTTATGAATCAAAAAAAATAACAAAAAAAAGGTTTCTTATTCTAATTCTGAACAACATGATGAGTAATGTAATAAGACAGCAGATCCCGTCTTGCCAGTTCCTCCAATCTTCACACGCCTACACAATAGCTAAAAGTTACTTTTGGAATTCATTTAAAAAACTTTTTTAAGTTCTAATGAGCCTTGCACTTGTATAATTATCAGACTGCAGGGTGAGCAGAACATTTTTTTTGTTCATTGTGCGGTTATAGTGAAAGACAATAGTGAAGACATGTTTTGGACATTTTGTTCAATGCCTGATTGTTGTTATCCAAACTAAACATCCTGATCAATAAAAGTTGCAAAGGACTAACGTTTGAACACACTGCCTCTTCCTCTTCCTCAGAGTCTGTATAAAATTTGCCTTGAGTGATTTGTGCACCAGTATTTTCTTTGGATCCTGTCTGAAAGAAGGAATTCACTGAAAAAGTTAATAAAGTCCTTTTCTGAAATCACCGAACTCCATTTGTGGAGACTTTGAAGCGCAATAGTTTCCTTCTACATAACTTAGAATGTTTCAATCCAGAGGTCTTCAAAGTAAAGCAAATCTGTAGGTGAAATATCCTCAGGAAAGCGAACTAGAAATTATGATCTGATCAAAATGAACTAATCCTTTGCAGATGCCATCAATGATAGTCACTAATCCAGGTGAGTAGCAAGTCTGCAGCAAGAAAGGTGTGAGGCTGACGATCTCATTAGTACCAGCCCAAGCAGAACCACAAGTTCACTTCTCGTGTTTTTGTCCTTTACAGACACATTCATTTATTATTATCATATTTATTATTTATGACGGCACAGTGACGGCAGCTGTTTACTTCCTGCTACAAACACATGACTCTGTAGAAAACCTGCAGGACTGCAATCTCTGTATGAATTAGGCATCAGACAATGACTCTCCAAAAAAGAACAGTCCAGTAGAGTCCAGCACACTCCCTCATGGCACAGCACAGTCTAACAGAGACAAATACAGTCCAGTTTTTATTAGAGTCAAGTGCCGGTGGCATCAGGTACAGTGAAGTCTAGTCCAGACCTATACAGTGGAGTACAATTCAGTACAGAGTAATTTAGTCCGGTCATGTCGATTGTAAGCAAGTTTATGGTATTTTTGCACTTGCACAAAATTCAGGTAAGCTGCATATCTAAATGCAAACAGACATTTTTTACAGCCCAATTTTCTTAGACATAACATCCTGAACATAACAGGAAATATTCAGGTAAGTTCACCCCATGTGGCTGATGGGGGTAATGACGTTTATTTGAGTGACTGGTGCGCAAATCATGTTATCTTGGTGAATGTACTGAATCGGCTTCATACTCTTTTCAGCTTGCCAGCATAGTCTTTGCCACTTGTTTGTTGACACTGTGAATTCAATCCATAACACAAAGCACTGACATAAAGGCAAAAAAGCTATCATTATTGTGATGGGCTCTGTCGCTCTGTCCTCCATCTTGGATTTCTGAGCGTCTTTTTTACATCGTCTCTTGCCTCCTGTGAAAACAGCTTTAGTCTCAAATGCAGTCTACCAGACTAAAGTCCAGAAGATTCCGGCCCAAAGCAATCCTATACAGAGTGTAATAAAGCTGAGTCCAGGCAAGTAAATTCCAGTCATGTACATTAGACTAGGTCAGTTTAGTTTACTAGAGTTGAGTCCAGTTAAGTCAAGTACACTCTAGCCTTCTGCAATAGAGTCCAGTATTACCCAGTGAACGCCAGTCCACTCTTGTCTGAATTCTGCTGTGATAGTTATTATCATGTTGATTTGAAGTGTTAATTTATAAGTGGAGTTTATTTTTATTAGTTATTTGATGCAAAAAGGAACCGATGTATCATCATGATTGACAGCTCTGATCACAAATGTGGACTCTTCGACGCTCTTTACCTGATGAGTAGAGCATGGGAGGAAATGCAGAAGAAAAATGAAGGAAAACTAAAATTACAGTCATTTAACTGTAATATGAGTGTCTGCTTAAAACTGACACAATCTGTTCTACTGTGGACTGTACTGACCTGAGGTATCTTTGATGTTTTATCGGTAAGTTGTGCTTTTGTCAATCCTGTGGCTCCACCAAACAGGTCCCTTCTGGCCATGTCTTGGCTCCAAATTACATTACCAGCACAATATGTCATCACCTGTCGGGGGATTGATTGACTTCACTTTTGCACAATGGAAGGTGTCGGAAATGTATACAGTCAATGGTCCAGGCCAGTTTAGAACAGATAAGTCTATTCCAGACAACTCTTGAAGAGTCCAGAACACTCCAGTACAGCTATGTCAGGGAGGCTAATATAGTCCAGTCTTGTATATCGATGTCCAGTTGAGTCTAGTACAGTCCAGCACTTTCTTTCACAGTCTAATCCACTCCATTCTAGTCTTGTACAGTAGTAGTCTAATTTTGTGCTGTGGAGTCTAGTCTAGTACAGGAGAGTCTTGACAAGTTTAGTCCTGTCTTGTACACTAGAGTCCAGTTTAGTACGGTCAAGTCCACTAAAGCTAAGTCCTGTATAGTTAAACCAAGCTTGGGCCAATACAGTAGAGAAGAATACTGTACAGTCTAGTTCAGTCCAGTCCACCCTAGAATACTAAAGATTTGTCACGTCTAGTACATTGGAGTCCAGTAGAGTCCACTCCACTCCATTCTGGTCTATTAAAGCAGGGTCTAGACCATGTAAGTAAGCTCTATTCCAGTCAAGTACAGCAGCATTTAGAGACTTGCTCAAACGGTCTAGTACAGTACCAACCATGAAATCTAGCACAGAACAGAAGAGTCCAGTCTACATCTCATACAGTGAAGACAGGATTAGCATATTATGCTCCTGTTCAGTGTAGTGAAGTTTAGTACAGTACAACTGAATCTGGTCTCGTCTACTCCAGTCTAATACAGTAGAGAACAGTAAAGTCTGTTAAAGTCAAGTCCCGTCTGGTACAGTAGAGTCCAGCAGAGTTGCTTCCAGGTGCCTTTGGTCTGTTTCAGAGTTCGGTTTTATTTTTGTTTACAGTGTGACTACAGCAGAGAGACAGAGTCTGAACAGACAGACAGACAGACAGACAGACAGACAGACAGTCAGACAGACAGGTGGTGAGGAAAAAATAATGTCCACAGACAGACCAGAGGCAGGGACAGACATACAGACACACCGGTGGACAGAGAGACAAACAGTTGGTTTAACAAGAAACAAACAGTTTGAGAGTCCAGACAGACAGACAGACAAACCAGCAGACAGTCAGTACAGTTACAGTTAGGAAGATAATGGATGTAAGACAGGCAGACAGACGGGTGGACAGAGAGACAGACAGTTACAGTTCCTTACCTTCTCTCTGCTCCTCTTCCTCCTCTGCTTCTCCTCCATGCAGCAGGCAGGACGGCTGGCTGGGAGAGGTTTTCTTCTTCTCCTCCGCTCAGTCAACGCATCGTCTGGTGTGTCACAGGAGGGGGGGGGGCAGGGGGAGGACGGGGGAGGTAAAGGAGGAGGAGGGGGGAGGCAGAGACACAGCAGACAGCCGAGGAGGAGGAGGAGGAGGGAGGAAGAGGAGGAGTCATCTGAGGACAGCGAGGGAGCTAATGCGGCTAACTGCCCTGCAGAGGACGAGAGAGGGAGAGAGAGAAAGAGGGAGAGAGATACAGAGGCAGAATGTGGAGAGAGAGGGGCGAGCAAGAATACATTTAACTGTTCATTTGCTATAGAGAAGAAAACACTGCAAAGTCGAAAATTAAAGACACAAAATATACACCAACAGCACATGTAAACACTACACACACAAACAGATAAATACACACTCCCGGGATGTGTGTGCATGTGTGTGCACGTGCCTATTTGTGTGTGTTTGTGTGAGTGAGTTTGTGTGGCATGACTTGGCCAAATGCACAGCGCTGCATTGCAGTGCCGAGGCTGAGTTGGCATGCCGAGTACATAGCGTGCATACTGCGACTGTGTGCCAGGCTGAGACACACACACACACACACACACACACACACTCCACACACACACAAACACACACACACACTCCAACACACACACACAGACAGACACATCAGCAGCTTTTTGCAGCCTCAGCTTCCATCATCACAGCTCAGAGTAGTTTCTAACATGGATGAGAGACAGTTAAAGATAGACGGACTGTAACTGTATAGAAAGAGAAAGGCTTTCTCTGCCCGCATGCCTGTCTGTCTCTCTGTAATTGTTTCTAGACAGGCAGGCATGACAGACAGGTTTTGTGCCTGTGTTTAAAGTTCTCCATCCAAAGAGAGAGAAACAAGTAGGATGGGAGGGGGGGCTAAATAAGGACTTCTACAGAACCTGTTGTGTTTTTCTGCATGTATTGTCAGTCCGCAGACCTCTATCAGCTCCACCTGGTGACATTCAATCACATTTTATATATTTCAAATGTGAAACACTACTGCACTAGATCAGATCTCAATATGTAAATGGGTTGGGTGGGGTCTGAAAAGTGAATCCAGTGCAGAAGTGTCTTTAAACTGCATTCTTTCCATTGGCCAGCCGGGGCTAACTCCAAGTAGGTGACTTTATATTCGTCTATAAGGAAATTTGTCAACTCTCAGTTGATTTAATGTGTCATTAAACATTTCCCTTAAAAGTTTGTGATTTCAATTGCTTGTTTTACATCTTATCAGTACAGAACAAGTTCATTTTTTAAATCATGGGCAGAATATACAGTCATCAAAGCTAATTGACAAATTGCCACAATTGCGAGTAGTAGACACAAATATAAATATTGTTTTCAGCATTCAGTTAAAAACTGTCTTAAGAGTCACATTAATTTTTCAGTAACGTTGTTGTGTTAAAAGCCTATTTTTTGTGTGAATAAACAGGAGATACTTGGTTCAATGAGCCATTTTACATAGAGCTATTGTACTTCCAATCCATGTCACTAAAAGAGAAAATATATACAGAAATGTGAAGGTCTAACAAGCTATCACTAACATTCCTCTTCTCTGTACCTTTTGAAATTATTATTTTGTAACATTTCTTAAACTGAATCAAGTTTGCGTTATGTTTGAGTTTAATGTCTCATCCTATCACAAATCCACCCCACAAATTATTTCGCACTTTGGCTGTGCTTCGGTTGTAGGGTCGGGTTGGTTGTCTCTCAACAGGAAGGGTGGGGGTTCAATCCCAAGCTCCTGCGGCCTATTCGTAAAACCCTTGACCCCAAGATACTCACACTGCTTTGTCGGCAGCGTGTGAATGTGTATGAATAGGATTAGTTTATACTGATGGCTACTTTACATAGCAGCATTTGCCATCATCGATTGAAAAGGTAGGTGCGACCTGCGGTGAAAAACATTGGGTAGAAGACTAGAAAAGCATTATAGAAGCTTAAGTCCATTTACAATTATACTTTTAGGTTTTTTTTTTAGATGAAGCTTTCCTCTTAAGTTATAAACACCCTCTGTCAGTTTTTAGTTGGAATCAAATACTTTTTTAGTTTATACTAGGACTGCCAGCATTAACTCAATAATTGCAATGCCATTAAGGTAAAACAATAATGCATTATTCTTTTTCAAACGCATTAATTGCATGCTCTTTTGTGACTATAGGCAAGTATAAGAATGACTCTGCTGCGCCTTTAAATGGCTCCTTTCCATGCTCGTTTCAAATAAAAAAACCTCCTGGACAGCCCATTTAACCAGTCAAAGGTAATATTCATAAAACTCTTAGCTGTTCCCTTTAACGGTTTTCGATCAGTTTTCGATCTGTAACAAGTTCCTTATCTGGGTTAAGTAAATCTTGTAATCAACAAGTAGGCTACATATCGATTACCACGGCATGTGAGTGGAAATTCAGTCAGGTCTGCAGACATTTTCTTAGATGTGCCTGTGTTGTGCATAGAGCAGTTAGTCCTTATGGAGTTACTGTTTAGTTCTGTCTAATGTTCCAGTCTGACAAACAACTGGCCCCAGTCTGGCCCCTCAGTAAAAGTGGTCTAGAACCGCCACTGAACATACCTGTCCATCAGACCAACTTTAAAATTTAAATCAAGCTGGCTGTTTGGATGGAGCGTCTCCTCCTTGGTCTGCTGAGCCAGCGTGAGCTGCACCTGGATCTCCAGTGTCTACTATGCCGGACTACCTGCCAGCTCATTTAATAGAAGCGTACTGTTGTTTAGCTCAGTGCTTCTTTCTTGTGAGATAAGTTTTACTTCCTGTACATGTAGGCAACTCACAGCTTTATTATTTTCGTTTCATTTGAGCAGTGAAAAATAATGTCGGCATTTCCGAGACAGAAAGCTCACGGCTGAATGATTACCTGCAGTGTTTGTTTACAGCGTGCAATGTTCTTTCTCCCAGGATGCTGCTGTGCTGACTTTAGTGTAACCCAAATGGAAGGATAGGCTATGTTTCTGCAATTTTAGTTGGAACTAGAGAAGGCTACAAACATGACAAATATATAGATGCATTTCAACTTTTTAAAAGTCTTTACTTCCATTTGAAGTGAGGGTCTGAAGATGAACTGCCACTGTGACCCCCCCCCTACCTCTGTTCCCTGCAAGGTTGCCACAATTTCCAGTTTGGGATCAATAAAGTAATTCTATTCTATTCTATTCAAAGATTGTATTCAATAATGTTTTTTAATCACCAAGACTGATTGAGAAGAAATAAGCCATATAATTGTAGTTTAATAATTAACCACAAATCCTGAATTGGGACATCACTGGCTGAGCACTGCTGTGTCTCATTAAGTGCAGTAATTGCCTAGCTTCAATATCAGAGTAACTACACTGTCATCACAAATACAACACGGACAAAAATACACCAGCTATTTATAAGTGGCACAAAGCGGAAGTTTTAAACTGGTAATCATTATTTAACTTTCCTTTATCAAAATATGAAGTGTTTCCGAGCAGTAACAAAACTGGCTGTTCATGTTCTTTTTAAAGACTCTATTTTTGTTAAAATGATCCAGCTAATTACTTAACTAGGTCTTTGTTTTTGTCAATCATGTTATAATTGGTTGCTCACACACTGTATGGTCTCTAGCGAGAACCGACTATACAGTATGTTAATGTAACTTTAGCAATGCTAACACAATTTTACCCAAAGCCACCTCGTTGAAAGTTCTGTGACGATTTAGTCCAATAAAATTTGTTGGTGTGCATGTTTCAATTGTTGTCTATGCTCATCATGTCTGCAGCCATAATTCAATCTGCTCTCTGCACCTCCATCACTTGTTTGGTCTTGTTTGGATCTGCCACCAAACAGGACAAACGGCAACGGACAGTCAGGCAGTGACGCCGAGATTGAAAAGCGGCACACAAAATGAAGTGCAAACTTTCATCAGTAAATGTCGTAAAGCAAGTTCAATGGTGATGAAGTACATATGAATCATGTTGGCGATTCTAGAGTAAAATATGAGTGGTAGGCCTACATGACTCTGGCTCCCTGTTAGTTCCCTGCCATAGTTGTCGAAGTTGCCTGACACGAATAACAAAGCGGCACGTTCTCGGCGCTAATCAGGGTTGCAGAAAAATCATTGGTGCTGACCTGCCCTCCAACCAGGTCTTGTACTGGTCCAGGGTCAGGAAACGGGCCGGTAACATCATTGTAGATCCCTCACTCCCTGGACTCAAACATTCAAACTCTTCCCCTCCAGGATGTGTTACAGATCACTGAACGCCAAAAAAACCTGACAAGAACAAGAATCTCCCCACAGGCTGTTACTGTGATCAACGCTTAACAGTCACAGTGCCAGAACTGTCATGTGCAATAACCCTGAAACAGTAACACTCACTGTAAATTTTAATTATTTATTAATGCATGGTCACACACTTAATTATGAAAATATTTGAAAATATGGATATACTGGAAAATAACTATCTGCCTAATGTAAAATAATTCATTTGATACACAGTTACAGTTAATCATGTTCATTTAAGTATCTTTTTGCACTACTCACCACTGCACTGTTGTCTTATTTAGTCTCACTAGTTTTTGTTTCACATTTTATTTTATACTTTTGTACATTGTGAGCACAGTCTATTGTCGAATTCCTTGCATGTGAGCATACCTGGCCAATAAAGCTGATTCTGCCAAACTGTAACACCAGCTGCATTAGATGTTGAAAGGTGGGAGGTGCATTTACTAAGCACATGGGCAAAACTGGCAAAGACCCCTGCCTGCCGTGAAAGCTGTCTTGGCGTTGTCTTGCTCCTTGAGCTGCACTTGCATCCAACAACTATGGTATAGAGTGGTCACTACTGAAGTCATGAAGCGTGTGTATGTGAAAGAAAAGAGACAATGGGTGTGCAGACTGCAGCGTGAGGAGCACCAGGAGCCGAGCTGAGCATAATGGCAGATGTTTGCAGGGGTGGATGAAGATGGCAGTGTGCAGATGGAGACAATTAGGAGCACCAAGAGCATAGAGCTGAGTACAGTGGCAGGGGAGAAGTTTTGCAAGAGC